ATTGGATACAATGGATTTACTCATATGTCAGGAGAGTCTTAGCTATCATGTGGCCAAAGCTTGAATAGACCCACTGGATCCAAGGAATTTGACCAAGTGTTGGGGGAGTTTAGTCTATCACATGGCCAAGTGTTGAGTAGAGTAAACTCATTGGACTCAATGGATTTACTCATGTGTTAGTAGCATGTTAGCCTATCATATGGCCAAGGGTTGAGTAGAGTAGACCCACTGGACTCAATGGATTTGCTTGTGTGTTAGGAAAGTCTTAAGTCTATAATGGCCATGGGTTGAGTAGAGTAGACCCACTGGACTCAATGGATTTACTCATGTTTTAGCAGAATCTTAGTCTATCATATGGCCAAGGGTTGAGTAGACTACACCCATTGGACTCAATGGATTTGCTCATGTGTTAGTAGAATCTTAGTCTATCATGTGGCCAAGGGTTGAGTAGACTACACCCATTGGACTCAATGGATTTGCTCATGTGTTAGTAGAATCTTAGTCTATCATGTGGCCAAGGGTTGAGTAGACTACACCCATTGGACTCAATGGATTTGCTCATGTGTTAGTAGAATCTTAGTCTATCATGTGGCCAAGGGTTGAGTAGACTACACCCATTGGACTCAATGGATTTGCTCATGTGTTAGTAGAATCTTAGTCTATCATGTGGCCAAGGGTTGAGTAGACTACACCCATTGGACTCAATGGATTTGCTCATGTGTTAGTAGAATCTTAGTCTATCATGTGGCCAAGGGTTGAGTAGACTACACCCATTGGACTCAATGGATTTGCTCATGTGTTAGTAGAATCTTAGTCTATCATGTGGCCAAGGGTTGAGTAGACTACACCCATTGGACTCAATGGATTTGCTCATGTGTTAGTAGAATCTTAGTCTATCATGTGGCCAAGGGTTGAGTAGACTACACCCATTGGACTCAATGGATTTGCTCATGTGTTAGTAGAATCTTAGTCTATCATGTGGCCAAGGGTTGAGTAGACTACACCCATTGGACTCAATGGATTTGCTCATGTGTTAGTAGAATCTTAGTCTATCATGTGGCCAAGGGTTGAGTAGACTACACCCATTGGACTCAATGGATTTGCTCATGTGTTAGTAGAATCTTAGTCTATCATGTGGCCAAGGGTTGAGTAGACTACACCCATTGGACTCAATGGATTTGCTCATGTGTTAGTAGAATCTTAGTCTATCATGTGGCCAAGGGTTGAGTAGACTACACCCATTGGACTCAATGGATTTGCTCATGTGTTAGTAGAATCTTAGTCTATCATGTGGCCAAGGGTTGAGTAGACTACACCCATTGGACTCAATGGATTTGCTCATGTGTTAGTAGAATCTTAGTCTATCATATGGCCAAGGGTTGAGTAGACTACACCCATTGGACTCAATGAATTTACTTGTGTGTTAGAAAAGTCTTAAGTCTATTATGGCCAAGGGTTGAGTAGAGTAGACCCATTGGACTCAATGGATTTACTCATGTGTTAGTAGAATGTTAGTCTATCATATGGACAAATGTTGAATAGAATAGGACCCACTGGACTCAATGGATTTGCTCATGTGTTAGTAGCATGTTAGTCTATCACATGACCAAGGGTTGAGTAGACTACACCCATTGGACTCAATGGATTTGCTTGTGTGTTCGGAAAGTCTTATGTCTATTATGGCCAAGGGTTGAGTAGAGTAGACCCACTGGACTCAATGGGTTTATTCATGTGTCAGGGGAGTCTAGTGTATTATTATTATTATTATTATTATTATTATTATTATTATTATTAGCCAGTCAAGGGGGTCCCAGTGGTGATCGGCGCACTGGGTGCCGTGCCAAAAGATCTCTGCCGGCATTTGGAAACAATGCACATGGACAAACTCACGACCTGTCATACTGTGTTTTTGTGTCAGTAAAATAACAACAACAACAACAATAATTTTCCCATTCCACTGCTACGCTGACCCCAAAGAAGCCAGTTGCTCCCCTTTCTCTCAAAGCAGAGACTGCAAAAACAGAGTTCCTTTTGGGATTTAGGATTCCCATCAGACGAGAGCACGAAAGTAACTTCTGGCATGGACTGTGCACTTGTCCCTGAATGCGCGCTTGCTCTGAAAGGACTCCTCTGTTTGCTTTTATCTCTGTTTCCCTGGGAAATGACGCCCAAGAGGAGTCCAGCTGCTGTCTCTCCACAGACAAGTGTCCATTCAAGGCCCAGGCGGGACTGCAGTGACCTTCCTTTGGGGTCAGCCTTTGTAGGTTGGGCTAAATGACCCGCTGCCATGAGAGCCACCCTTGTGTTCGTCTGCGCACTTCAGAGCATCAGAACAAACAGTATCAATCCTGCAGTGTAGACGCGCCTTTAGTATGTGTTTCCTCTTTCTTTCTCTCCCCGCAGGCCTGGCTGCGCTTCTACGGCTACCTCCCCCCGTCCAGCCCGCAGATGTCCACTCTGCGCTCGGCCCAGACCCTCTCGGCCGCCATCTCCGAAATGCAGAGTTTTTACGGCATCCCCGTGACTGGCGTCTTGGACGATGAGACTGCCACGTGAGTGCTTTCGCAAGAAGAAGGTTTTGAGAATGAGTTAAAAGCCAGCGGACCTGACGGGATCCCCATTGAAATTTTTAAAGACAGCACTGTTTGGCTGCAGCAGGGACTCTGTAGGGAGGCAGACCATAGCCTTGACAAGACAAATTCATCTAAAGCAGGCCTGAGCCAACTTCGGTCTACCCTCCGGGTGTTTTGGACCACAACTCCCACAATTCCTATTTATTTATTTATTTATTTATTTATTATTTACTTTGCTTATATACCGCTGTTCTCAGCCCGGGGGCGACTCACAGCGGTGTACAACAGGTAGGCTGTCAGGAATTGTGGGAGTTGAAGTCCAAAACTCCCGGAGTGCCAAAGTTGGCCCAGGCCTGAATCTCTTACTTACTTAGGCGATCCCTCGTTTTCCGAGGATGATTGTCTTCCAATATTCTTGTGGGTCCGTATGTGGCTGTGGAGCCCTCTTCTTGCTCTGCATCTTCTTCTTCAGTGAGGGCATCTGTTTCCGGTTGGAAGGCGGTCTCGGTCGGGGTTGGCATGACGCGCCTTCCTCTTGGCACGCTTCTCCCTTTCACCCTCCACTCGTGCCTCTTCTAATTCTGCAGCACTGCTGGTCACAGCTGACCTTCAGCTGGAGCGTTCAAGGGCCAGGGCTTCCCAGTTCTCAGTGTCTATGCCACAGTTTTTAAGGTTGGCTTTGAGCCCATCTTTCAATCTCTTTTCCTGCCCACCAACATTCCATTTTCCGTTCTTGAGTTCGGAGTAGAGCAACTGCTTTGGGAGACGGTGGTTGGGCATCCGGACAATATGGCCGGTCCAGTGGAGTTGGTGGCGGAGGACCATTGCTTCAATGCTGGTGGTCTTGGCTTCTTCCAGCAGGCTGAATCTCTCTCTATAGACCATTATGAATTGTGGGAGGTGGAGTCCAAAACACCTGGAGGGCGGAAGTTCGCTCATGCCTGATCTGGAATAAGCAGATAATCTTGTTCTATTCTGGGATATAGAATAGAATAATTGTATTACTGTCCGATGAAGAGATAGAAATGGAGAAAGAGAGAAATGTATTGGTGAATGGATGGATGGGTTGATAGATGGATAGATAGATAAAGACACAGGTGAATAGAGAAGAAGAGAAATGTATTCGATGGATGGAGGGAGTGATGGAGAGGTGGATCAATAAGTAGATGATAGAGCCGTGTTTCCCAACCTTCCTAATGCCGCGACCCCTTGATACAGTTCCTCATGTCGTGGAGACCCCCGACCATCAAATTATTTTTGTTGCTACATCATAACTGCAATTTTGCTCGTGTTATGAATCCTAATGTAAATATCCAATAAGCAGGATGTATTTTCATTCACACTTGGCACAAATACCTAATATGCCCAAATTTGAATACTGGTGGGGTTGGGAGAGATTGATTTTGTCATTTGGGAGTTGTAGTTGCTGGGATTTATAGTTTTGGTGGGCAGTGTCCTTTGGTTTTGGAGTTGTAGTTCACCTACATCCAGAGATCACTGTGGACTCAAACAATGATGGATCTGGACCAAACTCTACATGAATACTCAATATGCCCAAATGTGAACACTGATAGAATCTTGACATTTGGGAGTTGTAGTTGCTGGGATTTATAGTTCACCTACAATCATAGAGCATGCTGAACTCCACCAATGATGGAATTGGACAAAACTTGGCACACAGTTCTCCCGTGACCAACAGAAAATACTGGAAGGGTTTGGTGGGCAGTGTCCTTTGGTTTTGGAGTTGTAGTTCACCTACATCCAGAGATCACTGTGGACTCAAACAATGATGGATCTGGACCAAATTCTACACGAATACTCAATATGCCCAAATGTGAACACTGATAGAATCTTGACATTTGGGAGTTGTAGTTGCTGGGATTTATAGTTCACCTACAATCATAGAGCATGCTGAACTCCACCAACGATGGAATTGAACCAAACTTGGCACACTGAACTTCCATGACCAACAGAAAACACTAGAAGAGTTTGGTGGCCATTGACCTTGTGTTTGGAAGTTGTAGTTCACCTGCACCCAGAAAGTACTGTGGAGTCAAACAAGGATGGATCTGGACCAAACTTTCTCCTTCCATCCTTCCTTTTCATCTTCCATCCTTCCCTTTCATCCTTCCTTCCTTCTCTTTCCTTCCTCAATACTCAATATGCCCAAATGTGAACACTGGTGGAGTTTGGGGAAAATAGACCTTGATATTTGGGAGTTGTCGTTGCTGGGATTTACAGTTCACCTATGATCAAAGAGCCCCTTGAATCCCACCAATGGCAGAATTGGGCCAAACTTCCCACACACAACCCCCGTGACCAACAGAAAATACTGTGTTTTCTGATGGTCTTTGGCGACCACTCTGACACCCCCTCGCGATCCCCCCAGGGGTCCCGACCCCCAGGTTGAGGAACACTGTGATAGAGGAAGACAGAAAGAAACAGATTGGTACGCAGGTAGGAAAAGAAAAGGGAGAGTAGAATAGAATCGCTTTATTGTCATTGCACACCGTAACACGAAATTAAAGGCACAGAAACATTGTTTTGGAAATGCAGGATTATTCTGGAACAGAGAGGAAGAGAGAGGCTGAATTGAAGGGAAGAAATGGGAGGGGAGAGTTTTGGTTTGTGTGTGTGTGTGTGTGCTCGCGTGTGCATGTTTACGTCAATCTGATTCTGGTCATCCCATGTTGCAGAGCAATCTAGTGTGGCGCTCCGCTTTTCCCAATTGGACCCACTTAATAGTATTATTCTGCAGATATGTTCAATCTCCTTGTTTCTAGTGTCTGACTGGAATATAGATACGAGAGATATGTGGGTGCTGAGCCTCAACATTAACCTGGATCTGGGAAGCCCTCCCTTGACCGCCCTTCTCTTGCGTTCGCTTCTCAGGTGGATGAAACGGCCTCGTTGTGGCGTCCCGGACAAGATCGGCAGCGGAGTCAAGGCCAACATGCGGCGGAAGCGGTACGCGCTGACCGGGCGGAGGTGGACACAGAGCCAGCTGACCTTCAGGTATGGAGGATTTAGACTTAAAAGCCAGCGGACCTGACGGGATCCCTGTTGAAATCTTTAAAGACAGAACTGTGTGTCTGCAGCAGAGACTCTATAGCGAGGCTGCCCACTGCCTTGACAAGACAAATTCATCTAAAGCAGGCATGGGCCAACTTTGACCCTCCTTCCATGTGGTTTGGACGACCCTACATCTAAAGTTCAGAGCGAGGGATGTGTAACGGGCCTCCTCATGTTAATGAGGGAGTGTGTTCCAACTCAGAGTAGGTTTCACCTTGCTCCCAAACAGCACCACACAAGAGCTGTAGATTTTGTAGTTTATTGAGGAAAAACAAAGTCAAAACATAGAGTAAGCAATGCAAAGTTCCAAAGACAAAAGTTAAATGCAAAAGCACAGTTCCAAAGATCCAGGGGCAAAAACATGAAGCATAATCCTGTAAGCAATGATCAAGCAAGAGTCCATGGTAAAGCAGTGAAACACAAGACCCAAAAAGCCAAGATTCAGGAAGCCCAAAGCATGCTGCTTAAAGCCAAGATTAATCCATAGAAGCTTTCATGGAAAGAGCCACGTTGAACTGACAATTTCTCTTTGTCCGCCAGAAGCCTAAATACCCTTTGCCATCATGAAAGCATTACGATGACCTTTCGCCGACTTGGCTTCTTTCTTGCTAGCTAACCGAGAACTCCTCCTGACTCTCCAATCTAAGCCTTCTTGCCTGCTCATTAATTCCCTATCTTCAATGCTCTCTTCTTTATCAGTTTGGTCCAGCTGGACCAAATCACCGTGGGAAGGCTGAGCAGGCGAAGACAACTCCAACTGGCCGTTATCTAACTCACTGACATTCATTTCCCTTGAGAACTGACATGTCTCCTCTGCTGCACTGTCTGGGAGAGGCACAAAAAGAGGCACAGGAACAGGCCCAGAAATCTGAATCCCATCATTCTCTTCTGGCTCACAAGGCACACAAGACCCACAGGGTTCAGTGTCAGACTCAGAATCAAACTGAGCCACAACAAAGTGGATCATGGGATTTCTGGGCCTGTTGAGCCTAAGAACCAGCATGAGATTTTAAGTCCTGAAACAGAGCGTTCTGTGCCTCCTGCAGTTAGTGAAGGCGAAGGCCACATTCCAGAGAGGGGCCCAGAGAAGTCTTCCTCTAGGGAAGCGAGTTCAGAGGATGAATTGCCAGGTGGAGAGGTCAGTGAGCTGATAGATAGGAGACTTAGTTTCGCAAACTCCGAGCCGATTCACAGACTCAGCGAAGGTCACAGTGCTTGTTAGAGGAAAAAACCATTATCAGTTTGTCAGGGAAAGCGGAATGATTTCATGGCTTTATTAGAGAGACCAAAGGGATTTTCCAATAGTCTGGTCAATGTTGGAGTTGAAGCAACATCTCTTGTCAAGTCCTAGTCAACCCTGCTAAAGGAACTCTAGTTTCATGTTTCAAGTTGTTCATGTTCCATGTTTCCAAGTTTAAAGGATTGTGCCTGAATTTTGTGCATTGGATTTTATGCTGCTTTGTGTATCCTGATTCTTTTGCAATCCTGGATTTTTATGTACCTTGAATCTTACGGACTTTTTCATACATTTGGACTTGGATGTTTTTACTATTTTGCTAAACTGCTTTTTTATATAATCTTCAATAAAATGCTTGGCTAGTTTACATTGGACTGGAGTGTGGCGGTAATGTCTCCAAGTCGTTTCAGACTCAGAACGACCCTCAGTCTAAAGTTTAGAGCAGGGGCTACACGAAGGACCTCGACGGGCCACATCTGGACCGCGAGCCGTAGTTGGTTGAAACTCTCCTTCTATTGAGGTCTCCTAGGATCGCATTCTCCCAAGATGCCTTTCTATACTCAGGGCTCTTCCTCTTGTCTTCCAGCATCCAGAACCACACGGAGAAGCTGGGCCGCTCCGCATCACAGGAGGCCGTCCGGCGGGCCTTCCGCGTGTGGGAGGAGGCCACGCCACTGTCCTTCCGGGAAGTGCCCTTTATGGGGACGGGGCTCCCACGCCGGGCGATGCCAGAGGCCGACCTGGTGGTGCTCTTTGCCTCCGGCTTCCACGGTGACAGCTCCCCCTTCGACGGGGCGGGGGGCTTCCTGGCCCACGCCTTCTTCCCAGGGCCTGGCATGGGGGGCGACGCCCACTTCGACCTGGACGAGCCCTGGACCCTCGAGAACATCGATGGCGCAGGTAAGGGTCAATCCTAGGGCTCCCTCAAAGCCCACTTTTGTGGGGGGGACCACCGCTAATTGACAGAGCAGATGACCGGTGGGGCCACTTCTTCAACTATACTATATAACATGATTTTTGCTCCTGGGTTATACATGTCATTACAAGTGTCATTTTGCAGGAGGGACATCCTTCTATTGTACATTATATTGTTTTTATATTATTGCTGTTGTTGTTATATTATATTATAATATTATAGTTGTGTTATAATATTATAATTGTATTATGTTATTAAGAACTTCCTGACTGTGAGAGCCGTTCAGCAGTGGAACTCTCTGCCCCGGAGTGTGGTGGAGGCTCCTTCTATAGAAGCTTTTAAACAGAGGCTGGATGGACATCTGTCAGGGGTGATTTGAATGCAATATTCCTGCTTCTTGGCAGAAAGGGGTTGGACTGGATGATGGCCCAGGAGGTCTCTTCCAACTCTTGGATTCTATGATTCTATGAAATTGTTATTGTATTATATTGTTATAATTATATTATATTACTATTATATTATATTATTATTAGATTCTTGTGGGTTTTTTCGGGCTATAGAGCCATGTTCTAGAGGCATTTCTCCTGACGTTTCGCCTGCATCTGTGGCAGGCATCCTCAGAGGTAGTGAGGTCTGTTGGAAGTAGGACAGTGGGTTTATATATCTGTGGACAAAGGACTCTTGTCTGCTGGAGCTAGGTGTGAATGTTTCAACTGACCACCTTGATTAGCATTTGATAGCCTGGCAGTGCCTGGGGCAATCGTTTGTTGAGAGGTGATTAGATGTCCCTGATTGTTTTCCCTCTGCTGTTTTGCTGTTTTAATTTTAGAGTTTTTTTTAATACTGGTAGCCAGATTGTGTTCATCTTCATGGTTTCCTCCTTTCTGTTGAAATTGTCCACATGCTTCTTGTGGATTTCAATTTTCCTAGTTCCAACAGACCTCACTACCTCTGAGGATGCTTGCCATAGATGCAGGCGAAATGTCAGGAGAGAATGCCTCTAGAACAGTGTTTCTCAACCTGGGGGTTGGGACCCATGGGGGGGTCACCAGGGGGTGTCAGAGGGGTCGCCAAATGCCCATCAGAAAGATGGAAGGTGAACTACATCTCCCCTAAATCACTGTCAATTCATCCCAAATCCCTCCAGTACATTCTGTTGGTCATGGGGGTTCTATGTTGGAAGTTTGGCCCAATTCTATCGTTGGTGGGGTTCAAGGGACTTTGATTGTAGGTGAACTATAAATCCCAGCAACTAAAACTCCCAAATACAATTTCCCCAAACTCCACCAGTGTTCACACTTGGGCATATTGAGTATTCGTGCCAAGTTTGGTCCAGATCTACTATTGTTTGAGTCCACAGTGCTCTCTGGATGTAGGTGAACTACAACTCCAAAACTCAAGGTCAGTGCCCACCAAACGCTTCCAGTATTTTCTACTTGGTCATAGGAGTTCTGTGTGCCAAGGTTGCTTCAGTTTCCATCATTAGTTGCATTCAGAATGCTCACTGATTGTACGTGAACTATAAATCCCAGCAACTATAACTCACAAATGACAACATCCATTCCCTCCAACTCCATCAGTATTCAAACTTGGGTGTATTGGGTAGGACCAGTGAATGAAAAGACATCCTGCATATCAGATATTTACGTGACGATTCACAACAGTAGCAAAATTACAGATATGAAGTAACAACAAAAATAATGTGATGGTTGGGGGTCACCACAACATGAGGAACTGTATTAAGGGGTCGCGGCATTAGGATGGTTGACAAACACTGCTCTAGAACATGGCTCTATAGCCCGAAAAAACCCACAAGAACCGAGTGATTCCAGCCATGAAAGCCTTCGACAATCTATTATTATTGTTGCAGCCCAGAGCTGGAAACAGGGCCTTCTTGTCATTAAGACACCACACCTTGGTTTAGGAAAAATACCATCCTTTGTATTGAATGATGAATATAACATAGATTGAAGTCCAAAGGTTAGAAAACCAAAATGAAACTGCAAACAATAATGTCCAGAAAGCTTGCAGGAAATCCAAAGCAGAAATGTCCAAACAACTCTCAATAGAAATCCATGAGCAGAATATCCCCTGCTCAATCTCACGTGAAGCCAGAAATTCCCTTAGAGACCAGACCACTGGAAACTGGAAAGCCCAGGAGGTTTGTTGTTGTTGTTCATTCGTTCAGTCGTCTCCGACTCTTCGTGACCTCATGGACCAGCCTACGCCAGAGCTCCCTGTCGCTGTCACCACCCTTAGCTTCTTTAAGGTCAAGCCACTCACTTCAAGATGCCATCCATCCATCTTGCCCTTGATTGGCCCCTCTTCCTTTTTCCTTCCATTTTCCCCAGCATCATTATCTTCTCCAAGCTTTCCTTCCTCCTCATGATGTGGCCAAAGTACTTCAACTTTGTCTCTAGTATCTTTCCCTCCAATGAGCAGTCGGGCTTTATTTCCTGAAGTATGGACTGGTTGGATCTTCTCGCAGTCCAAGGCACTCTCAGAACTTTCCTCCAACACCACAGCTCAAAAGCATCGATCTTCCTTCGCTCAGCCTTCCCTAAGGTCCAGCTCTCACATCCGTAGGTGACTACAGGGAATACCATGGCTTTGACTAGGCGGATCTTTGTTGCCAGTCTGATGTCTCTACTCTTCACTATTTTATCGATACTGGACATTGCTCTCCTCCCAAGACATTGCTCTCCTCCCCTGGGGAAGGCAATGGCAAACCACTCCAGTATCCTTGCCAAGAAAACTAAATGGACCAGGAGGTTTGTACTTGATACTAAACGATGCTCGGTCTGAGGAAATCCCCCTCACGGCCACTCTTCAATCCCAAAAACTGATTCCGGCTAACTCTAATCTTTGGTTTCAGTTGTCGGATTCTCTCGGACCTACGTAAACATTGAGCCTCCCTGCGGTTCTGGCTTATCTCCAAACTGTGGCTAAACGGTGGTACATGCTCTGGTCACATCCCGCCTCGACTACTGCAACGCTCTCTACGTGGGGCTGCCCTTGAAGACGGCCCGGAAGCTTCAGCTAGTCCAGCGCGGCAGCCATGTTACTAACAGGAGCGGGACGCAGGGCGCACACAACGCCCTTGTTGTCCCAGCTCCACTGGCTGCCGATTTGCTACCGGGCCCAATTTAAGGTGCTGGTTCTGGCCTACAAAGCCCTAAACAGTGGTTCTCAACCTGGGGTCCCCAGATGTTTTTGGCCTACAACTCCCAGAAACCCCAGCCAGTTTACCAGCTGTTAGGATTTCTGGGAGTTGTAGGCCAAAAACATCTGGGGACCCCAGGTTGAGAACCACTGCCCTAAACGGTTCCGGCCCAAAATACCTGTCTGACCGCATCTCGGCCTATGAGCCCACGAGGGCCTTGAGATCGTTTGGGGAGGCCCTTCTCTCGATCCCACCCGCCTCACAGGCACGTCTGGCGGGGACGAGAGAAAGGGCCTTCTCGGTGGTGGCCCCCCGGCTGTGGAACACCCTCCCTGTTGACATCAGACAGGCGCCCTCCCTTTTGTCCTTCCGTAGGAGCCTAAAGACCTGGCTTTTCGAGAAGGCATTTAATTGAATATACGGTAACTGGTAATTGACACCTGGAACGGAATATGGACTACGATATTGGATATGGTTCTACGATATGACGGAGCGGATTATTTAGTGTAATTTATAGTATTGTGTATTATTGTTGTGTGGATTGCTTGCTTCTGTTTTTGTAAACTGTTTTTTATATGCTGTACACCGCCGCGAGTCGCCCTAGGGCTGAGAGCGGCGGTCAATAAATGCACCAAATAAATAAATAAATAAATAAATAAATAAATAAATATTATCGTTGACCCAACCTGGTGTCAAGTTATTTTGCAAGCTCGGGCCAGGAGGAAAAAGGAGTGGGTTTTCTTCTCTCGCTCTGACAGGAACATTCTCATGAGAAGTTGGCTTTTCCCTTGAAGCCTCTCAATCAGTGTTTCTCAACCTTCCTAATGCCGTGACCCCTTAGTAGAGTTCCTCCTGTTGTGGTGACCCCCAAACATAACATTATATTTGTTGCTACTTCATAACTGTAATTTTGGTACTGTTATGAATCATAATGTAAATATCTGATATGCAGGATGTATTTTCAAATCCCAAATACCCGATATGCCCAAATTTGAATACTGATGGGATGGGGGTGATTGATTTTGTCATCTGGGAAAGTTGGAGTTGCTGGGATTTATAGTTCACCTACAATCAAAGAGCCTTCTGAACTCCACCAATAATGGAACGGAATCAAACTTGGCACATAGAATTCCCATGACCAAGAGAAAATACTGGGAGGGTCTGGTGGACATTGACGTTGGGTTTTTGGAGTTGTAGTTCACTTACACCCAGAGAGCACCGTGGACTCAAACAGTGGTGGATCTGGACCAAACTTGGCACAAATACTCAATATACCCAAATGTGAACACTGGTGGAGGTTGGGGAAAATAGACCTTGACATTTGGAAGGTGTAATTGTTGGGATTTATAGTACACCCACAATGAAATAGCATTCTGAATCCCACCAATGATAGAATTGGACCAAACTTCCCACACAGAACCTCCATGACCAACAGAAAATACTATGTTTTCTGATGGTCTTTGGTGACCCCACTGACACCCCCTCGTGACCCCCACAGGGGTCCCGACCCCCAGGTTGAGAAACACTGCTTTAAATCAAAGCTTGTAGGATTTTTCCTGCCCAAAGTGCCTCCATCTTGAGCCTCGTCCTCATTGATCACTTCAGCCTCACTATCCAAACTAGGCCCATCAACATTGGCAACAACATTGGCATCAACATTAGGCAATACAATCAGAGATTCAGGCTCAGGTTCACACACAGGCTGAGTCCCAACAATTATAATATATTCCACTTTGTATCACAATTTTTTATCCTGGGTTATCAATGTCATTTCCTAATCGACTCTATCATAAAAACATGGGGAAAGTGTATTATCTTTATTATTATTATCATTATTATAATTCTATTATAATTATTATAATTATTACTATAATTGTTGTATTGTCGAAGGCTTTCATGGCCAGAATCACTGGGTTGTTGTAGGTTTTTTCGGGCTACTTGGCCATGTTCTAGAGGCATTTTCTCCTGACGTTTCGCCTGCATCTATGGCAAGCATCCTCAGAGGTCGTGAGGTCTGTTGGAAGTAGGAAAAAGGGTTTATATATCTGAGAATGACCAGGGTGGGACAGAGGACTCTTGTCTGCTGGAGCTAGGTGTGAATGTTTCAACTGACCACCTTGATTAGCATTTGATGGCTTGGAAGTGCCTGGGGGGAATCTTTTGTTGAGAGTGATTTGATGTGCCTGATTGTTTACCCTGTTGTTTTGCTGTTGTAATTTTTGAGTTTTTTAATTATAATTGTTATTTTCATCATCATCATATTATTCTTATTGTTGCTATTACTATCCTTATAATTATTGTTGTTATTATCGTCACACTTATCGTTATCGTCATTATTATCACTTTAACTGCCTTCTTGTTGTTATTGTGTTGATCTTTACTATGTAAACCGCCTTGAGTCGCCATTTCGGCTGAGAAAGGCGGTATAGAAGTAAAGCAAATAAATAAATAAAATAAATTATCATTCTTATTGTTATTATTATTATGGTTGTTATTATTATTATTAGCTTTATTATCATGGTGTATATAGTGCCATCAATGGACCTGGTGCCATACGTGTAACATAACACTATGTATCGCCATACGTGTAACATAACACTATGTATCGCCATACGTGTAACATAACACTATGTATCGCCATACGTGTAACATAACACTATGTATCGCCATACGTGTAACATAACACTATGTATCGCCATACGTGTAACATAACACTATGTATCGCCATACGTGTAACATAACACTATGTATCGCCATACGTGTAACATAACACTATGTATCGCCATACGTGTAACATAACACTATGTATCGCCATACGTGTAACATAACACTATGTATCGCCATACGTGTAACATAACACTATGTATCGCCATACGTGTAACATAACACTATGTATCGCCATACGTGTAACATAACACTATGTATCGCCATACGTGTAACATAACACTATGTATCGCCATACGTGTAACATAACACTATGTATCGCCATACGTGTAACATAACACTATGTATCGCCATACGTGTAACATAACACTATGTATCGCCATACGTGTAACATAACACTATGTATCGCCATACGTGTAACATAACACTATGTATCGCCATACGTGTAACATAACACTATGTATCGCCATACGTGTAACATAACACTATGTATCGCCATACGTGTAACATAACACTATGTATCACGGTTTTTGTTCCTGGGTTCCAAATGTCATTTCCTAATTGGATCTATCATAAAAACACGGGGAAAGTTGATTAAACTACACAAACATTGCCTTTGCAGCAGTGTATTTTGCTCTAGTTTCCTAATGAATATCTCATCACTGAATCTCAACCCATTCAACCTAGTTTGTGCCACAAAAACAAAGTTTCTGGGGTGGTACAACTACTTTCAAAGGACGGACCGCACAATTAAACCGCAACAACACTTTCAAACCAGGAGCAGAACTTATTTTTTCAATTTTTATTACATAGTGTAATTATAGAGTTGGAAGAGGCCATCTAGTCCAATCCCGTTCTGCGTCCATGCAGGGGAAGCACCATCCAAACCCTCCCAGTAGATGGCCAGAGTGATCCTCTTTTCTCTTTTGCCCCCACAGGGAACAACCTCTTCCTGGTGGCAGTGCATGAACTGGGCCATTCCCTGGGTCTAGAGCACTCCAGCGACCCCAGCGCCATCATGGCCCCCTTCTACCAGTGGATGGACACCCAGGCGTTCCGGCTGCCGGACGACGACCTCCGGGGCATCCAGCAACTCTACGGTCAGTGGCAAAGGCCATCTAGTCTGACCATCTCCCCCGATATCTACCCTCCTCTGTGAAGGAGTTCTGTCACCAAAGCAAACTACAAATCCCAGAAGAAGTGGGAGGCTTAAGAGACAGATGGAGGGCTTTAATATTCCTACTAATATCCAGGTGCATGAGGCATGATGTCATGGGTATAGTGGAGGGCTTAAATTGCCATAGCATTGCACTTAATTCCCGGGACCTCTTGAATTTTTGGGCTTGCACAAATCTTGGCCCGGACTTTAAAATTTGGGAGATGGAGCGGTATATAAATAAAGTTTTATTTATTATTTATTATTAATACTACTGTTGTATCTGCATTTTATTCATATATACCACTATGAACTTTGGGCTACAACAGCATTATTGTTACTACTACTACTACTACTACTACTGCTACTACTGCTGTTGTTTCTCCCTCCCGTAGGGGTCCCAGGGGGGCAGCCCCACCCCACGAAGGCGCTACCCACGGCAGGGGTCCCAGGCCAGCCCGCCCCCCGGCCCCCACCTCGCCCTCCCCCCGGGCGGCCCGACCGACCCCCAAAGCCGGGCAATCCTGACCAATCCGAGCCCAACATCTGCGACGGAGACTTCGACACGGTGACCGTCCTGCGAGGAGAGATGTTCGTCTTCAAGGTACTATTCCCTACCTTTCCTCGTCTCTTGTTGTTGTAGTCTGGCAAGCATCAGAAGATTTTTCTGTTTAGGGGATGAGTCGTCCGGGGATGATGAGTTTCAAAGTGAAAAGTCTGTGAGTGATCGAAGGGAATTGCAGGCAAATGAGGCTGATGTTTTGGATTCTTCAGCTCATTCCCTGGCCGCCCTGAGTCCCTCTGCGGAGGTTGAGATAGGACGGGATACAAATGTCCGAAATAAATAAAAGTTCTAGTTCCCTGGGGAAATGGCCTTGGGTCAACAGGGAGGTTTCAGGGGAACTCAGATTAGACCTGAGAATGCAGGGTGTTAAAAGTCAGCAAACGAGATTTTCTCAAAGGCTCAGAGATAAGGCTAAGATATCCAGGTGCATGAGGCATGATGTCATGGGTGTATTGGAGGGCTTAAATTAGTGGCTTGTTTTCAGGCTTTTTAGAGGAGACAATGTTGCTAAAGGAGATCGTTCTCTCTCTCTCTTTCTTTCCTTTCTTCCTTCATTCCACTTCCTTTCCTCCCTCTTTCCTCCTCCCTCTTTCCTCCCTCTCCTTGCAGGGCCGGTGGTTCTGGCGCGTCCGCCACAACCGGGTTCTGGACAACTACCCGATGCCGGTGGGCTACTTCTGGAGGGGCCTCCCAGGGAACATTGACGCCGCCTACGAGAGGCAGGACGGCCGCTTCGCATTCTTCAAAGGTGGGCAGAGCTGTGAATCTGCATTGGGAGACGGCGGAACTCCCTGCCACAAGGCGCAAGTATTGCCACAGCTGGAAGGGATGGCTTTCCAAAGAGATGACGGAAACAAATCCATCGAGGACTGTCCTAGATATTTGTTTTTAAGGCCCAATATTATATAATATAATATATATTCACACACATACATACACACATTGTGTGTGTGTGTGTGTATATGTGTGTGTGTGTGTGTGTATATTGTCACTCCAGCCATATATATATATAGGTTTCAGATAGCAGAGGGAAGGGCGTGTATGTGTATGTGTGTGTGTGTATGTGTGTGTGTGTATATATATGGCTGGAGTGACAATTAAGAAATGTCCCAACTTATATACAAATTTGACTGAAGAACAAACCTACAGAACCGGTCTTGTTCACAACTTGGGAACTGTCTGAATCTAAAACTTATACACACACACATATATATACATACATACATACATACATACACAAACACACACAGAGTTATATATATATATATAAGTTCCAGATAGCATATGGAAGGGTGTGTGTATGTATGTATATGTGTATGTGTATATATATATATATGTGTGTGTATATATAAAACTTAAGAAATGTCTATGTTCCGTCTTACATACAACTCCAGCTGAAGAACAACCTCTCTTGTTCGCAACTTGGGAACTGCCTGTATATAAAACTTACATACATATGTGTGTGTATGTATGTATGTGTGTGTATATGCACACACGCACACACACACACACACATATATATAAAGTATAGACCTGGCTGTTTGAACAGGCATTCGACTAAGCAGTGTGATTGATGGACTGACTATCGGGACACGGAATATCGGATAACGAGTTTGGATTCTGATTTCATGGATGAGACCTGATGGATTTGTTCTATTGATGTACTGATGTATTGATATTGATGTTTAATGATTTGTGATGCTATTGCTCTGAAATGCGTAATGATTTTGTATTGTGTATACCTACATTGTTGTAAACCGCTCTCAGTCGCCTCAGGGCTGGGAATATATATATATATATGTGTGTGTGTGTGTGTGTTTTGGCTAGCATGGGGCAGGGTATATCTGTGTGTGCCCCCTGCCTGACCCCTCTGCTTGACCTCTCTCCTGGGCAGGGGACCAGTTCTGGCTCTTCCGCGAGGCCAACCTAGAACCGGGCTACCCGCAGCCCTTGTCCAGCTACGGATCGGGCCTCCCGTACGACAGAGTGGACGCCGCTGTCTGGTGGGAGCCGACCGGGCACACCTTCTTCTTCCGCGGAGACAGGTGGGGGGCAGTCAGGAAGGAAGGAAGGAAGAAGGGAAGACGTAATTGTGGGAAGGAAGGAAGGAAGGAAGGAAGGAAGGGAAGGAGTGGCGTCCAATCCATGTGTGTGTGCTATTCCCTTCCCGCAGGTACTGGCGCTTCAACGAGGAGACCTACGCGGCCGACACGGGCTACCCGAGGAAGATTGGCGTGTGGGCAGGGGTCCCTCCCGCCCCAAAGGGGGTCTTCCTCAGCCCAGATGCAAGTAAGTCACTTGAAAAGTGTTCTGCTCCCGGTTTGAATGGGTTCTTCCTGTTTTATCGTGCGGTCCTTATTTTTAAAGGAGTTGTTCTACTCCAGAAACTTTGTTTTTGTGGCCCAAACTTGGTTGGATTCATTGAGACTCGAGGATGAGAGATTCATTGGGAAACTCGAGCCACATCTGCTCTAGCGGGAAACCCCTCAGGCAGAAACAAAGTTTTGGCAGTTTAATAGACTTTTCACATGTCAAATCACAGAAGAAGTGAGGCTTAAGAGACAGGTGGGGGGCTTTAATATTCCCATTAATATCCAGGTGCATGAGACATGATGTCATGGGTGTATTGGAGGCAGGGGCGGCTCAACCCATTACGCAAAGTAAGTATTTGCAGTAAAGTTGATGTCTTTATGATAAAACCAATTAAAACATGACATTGGTGGTGTTCTGGATGCTCTTTGATGGTAGGTGAACTATAAATCCCAGCAACTACAACTCCCAACTGTCAAGGTCTCTTTTCCCAAAACTCCACATTTGAGCATATTGAATATTCACCAAAGCAAACTACAAATCCCAGAAGAAGTGGGAGGCTTAAGAGACAGGTGGGGGGCTTTAATATTCCTCTTAATATCCAGGTGCATGAAGCATGATGTCATGGGTGTATTGGAGGCAGGGGCGGCTCAACCCATTACGCAAAGTAAGCCTTTCCAGTAGAGTTGATGTTGCCCAGGGGAGCTCTCGAGGCGCTCTTGGAGGAAAACAGATCTTGACATATGTGAGTTGTAGTTACTGGGATGTATAGTTCGCCTACAATCAAAGAGCATTCCGAACTCCACCAAGGATGGAATTGAACCAAATATGGCACACAGAACTCCCACAGGAAATAAGGAAAGAGAGAAAGAAGGGTGGAAGCAAAAAGCGAAGGAAGGAAGGAAGGAGAGAAGGAAAGAAAAAAAGGGAAGAAAAGAGGGAATGAAGGAAGGAGAGAAAGAGGGAGAGAAGGAAATAAGGAAAGAGAGAAAGAAGGATGGAAGCAAAAAGCGAAGGAAGGAAGGAGAGAAGGAAAGAAAAAGGAAGGAGAGAAAGAGGGAGAGAAGGAAATAAGGAAAGAGAGAAAGAAGGATGGAAGCAAAAAGCGAAGGAAGGAAGAAGAGAAGGAAAGAAAAAAAGGGAAGAAAAGAGGGAACGAAGGAAGGAGAGAAAGAGGGAGAGAAGGAAATAAGGAAAGAGAGAAAGAAGGATGGAAGCAAAAAGCGAAGGAAGGAAGGAGAGAAGGAAAGAAAAAAAGGGAAGAAAAGAGGGAATGAAGGAAGGAGAGAAAGAGGGAGAGAAGGAAATAAGGAAAGAGAGAAAGAAGGATGGAAGCAAAAAGCGAAGGAAGGAAGGAGAGAAGGAAAGAAAAAAGGGAAGGAAAGAGAGAAAGAAGGGTGGAAGCAAAAAGCGAAGGAAGGAAGGAAGGAGAGAAGGAAAGAAAAAAAGGGAAGAAAAGAGGGAATGAAGGAAGGAGAGAAAGAGGGAGAGAAGGAAATAAGGAAAGAGAGAAAGAAGGATGGAAGCAAAAAGCGAAGGAAGGAAGGAGAGAAGGAAAGAAAAAAAGGGAAGGAAGAAAAGAGGGAATGAAGGAAGGAGAGAAAGAGGGAGAGAAGGAAATAAGGAAAGAGAGAAAGAAGGATGGAAGCAAAAAGCGAAGGAAGGAAGGAGAGAAGGAAAGAAAAAAAGGGAAGAAAAGAGGCGAAGGAAGGAGAGAAAGAGGAGAAGGAAAGAAGGAAAGAGAGAAGGATGGAAGCAAAAAGTGAAGGAAGGAAGAGAAAGAAAAGAAAGGAAGGAAAAGAAAAAGAGGAAGGAAGAGAAAGAGGGGGAGAAGGAAAAGGAAAGAGAGAAAGAAGGAGAAGAAAAATCGAAGGAAGGAAGGAGAGAAGGAAAAAAGAAAAGAAAGGGAAGAAAAGAGGGAATGAAGGAAGGAGAGAAAGAGGGAGAGAAGGAAATAAGGAAAGAGAGAAAGAAGGATGGAAGCAAAAAGCGAAGGAAGGAAGGAGAGAAGGAAAGAAAAAAAGGGAAGAAAAGAGGGAACGAAGGAAGGAGAGAAAGAGGGAGAGAAGGAAATAAGGAAAGAGAGAAAGAAGGATGGAAGCAAAAAGCGAAGGAAGGAAGGAGAGAAGGAAAGAAAAAAAGGGAAGGAAGAAAAGAGGGAATGAAGGAAGGAGAGAAAGAGGGAGAGAAGGAAATAAGGAAAGAGAGAAAGAAGGATGGAAGCAAAAAGCGAAGGAAGGAAGGAGAGAAGGAAAGAAAAAAAGGGAAGGAAGAAAAGAGGGAATGAAGGAAGGAGAGAAAGAGGGAGAGAAGGAAATAAGGAAAGAGAGAAAGAAGGATGGAAGCAAAAAGCGAAGGAAGGAAGGAGAGAAGGAAAGAAAAAAAGGGAAGAAAAGAGGGAACGAAGGAAGGAGAGAAAGAGGGAGAGAAGGAAATAAGGAAAGAGAGAAAGAAGGATGGAAGCAAAAAGCGAAGGAAGGAAGGAGAGAAGGAAAGAAAAAAAGGGAAGGAAGAAAAGAGGGAATGAAGGAAGGAGAGAAAGAGGGAGAGAAGGAAATAAGGAAAGAGAGAAAGAAGGATGGAAGCAAAAAGCGAAGGAAGGAAGGAGAGAAGGAAAGAAAAAAGGGAAGAAAAGAGGGAATGAAGGAAGGAGAGAAAGAGGGAGAGAAGGAAATAAGGAAAGAGAGAAAGAAGGATGGAAGCAAAAAGCGAAGGAAGGAAGGAGAGAAGGAAAGAAAAAAAGGGAAGGAAGAAAAGAGGGAATGAAGGAAGGAGAGAAAGAGGGAGAGAAGGAAATAAGGAAAGAGAGAAAGAAGGATGGAAGCAAAAAGCGAAGGAAGGAAGGAGAGAAGGAAAGAAAAAAAGGGAAGGAAGAAAAGAGGGAATGAAGGAAGGAGAGAAAGAGGGAGAGAAGGAAATAAGGAAAGAGAGAAAGAAGGATGGAAGCAAAAAGCGAAGGAAGGAAGGAGAGAAGGAAAGAAAAAAGGGAAGGAAGAAAAGAGGGAATGAAGGAAGGAGAGAAAGAGGGAGAGAAGGAAATAAGGAAAGAGAGAAAGAAGGATGGAAGCAAAAAGCGAAGGAAGGAAGGAGAGAAGGAAAGAAAAAAAGGGAAGGAAGAAAAGAGGGAATGAAGGAAGGAGAGAAAGAGGGAGAGAAGGAAATAAGGAAAGAGAGAAAGAAGGATGGAAGCAAAAAGCGAAGGAAGGAACGAAAGAAGTAGAGAAGGAAGGAAGGAGAGAAGGAAAAAAGAAGGAGGGAAAGAGGTAGAGAAGGAAGAAAGGAGAAAAAGAGGGAGGGAAGGAAAGAAGGAAAGACAGAAGGAAGGATGGAAGCAAAAAGCGAAGGAAGGAAGAAAGATATAGAGAAGAAGAAGGAATAAATATGGGTTTGAGACAGATTAGGCAAAAATATATAACATAATTGTTGAATCAAATACTCACAAGTGTAAAGAAGTGGAGAAGGAAGGAAGGAGAGAAGGAAAAAAAAGGGAAGGAAGGAAAAGGGAACAAAGGAAGGAGGGAAAGAAGGAGAGAAAGAGGGAGGGAAAGTTGGCCACATCAACGCGTGGCGGCAGAGGCGGCCCTAGGTAATTTTCAATGGTAAGCAAACAGTCCACTGATCTATATTTTCGGTTCGTCGTGGGAGTTCTGTGTGCCCTATTTGGTTCAATTCCATCCTTGGTGGAGTTCAGAATGCTCTTTGATTGTAGGTGAACTATACATCCCAGTAACTCGCATATGTCAAGGTCTATTTCCCCCCAAGAGCGCCTCAAGAGCACCCCTGGGCAACATCAACTCTACCGCGAAGGCTTACTTTGCATAAGGGTTGAGCCACCCCTGCTTTAGGACCATAAAGTTAAAGATCTTCCCTGCGTTTTCCCTCCTTGTTTTTGTCCAGCCTACACTTATTTCTACAAGGGCCGGATGTACTGGAAGTTCAACAACGAGCGGCTGAAGACGGAGCCCGGCTTCCCCAAGTCCATCCTGCGCGACTTCATGGGCTGCCGGCAGGACGAGGAAGACGAGGAGGAGGCGGTCGACCCCGGACGAAGGCGGCCCGACTTTGCCCGGCCACCTTTCAACCCGAACGGGCCGGATCTGAACACGGACGGAGGAGGAGAGGAGGAAGAGCAAGTGGACGCTCGCCCCGGGGTCAAGGAGGAGGAGGAGGACAAATTAGGAGGGGATTACAACGATGGCGTTGACACGGGCCGGCCGCGCGGCCCCAACGACGTAGACATCGTGTTGCACATCAACGACTATCCTTGGAGCCTGAGCGCCGTCATGGCGGCGGTGTTGCTGCTCCTGCTGCTCTGCGTCCTGGGCCTTGTTTACGCTATGTTGCGGCTGCAGCGCAAGGGGCCGCCGCGCATGCTCCTCTACTGCAAGCGCTCGCTGCAGGACTGGGTCTGAATGGCTGGTCGAACGAGGAGGAGTATGACTCCGGCCGACAACAAGCCTGGGCAAACTTGGACCCTTCCGGGTGTTTTGGACTGCAACTCCCACAAGTGGAAGTTGACCCGTGCCTACGTTAGAACCTGTTTCTGGGTCTCTTTGACCACTGATTTGTCCCAAAAATGGCCCCGGTTTCCCCTGATGGGCTCTCGTTTTGGAGAAACAGAACCATATATGCCATATCTCCCAGACATTAGAGCTGATGTGATCTCTCCTGAATCGGTGCCCCAAAGAATCGCAAGAACTTGGCCTACAAACCAAGATGTAGCTTTATCTCAACCTACTTCTCATCTTTCTCAATTGCCTATCTACGGCTTCTGCTGTGCTCTCTTTTGTCGAGCCAACTTGGGCCCTCCAGGTGTTTTGGACTTCAACTCCCACAATTCCTAACAGCCTACCGGCTGTTAGGAATTGTGGGAGTTGAAGTCCAAAACACCTGGAGGGCCCAAGTTGGCCCAGGCCTGCATTTGAACCTGTTTCTGGATCTCTTTGACCACTGCTGATTCCAAAAACCGCCCTTGTTGTTGAGATACACAACTTAGATTCCATATCCAGTTGCGCATAGAAAACCAGGAGGACCTTATCTTAAGACACCAGGGCTGATGTGATCTCTCCAATGCAATCGGTGGCCCAAAGAATTGCAAGAACTTGGCCGAAAACCAAGACACCAAGGAAAATAACAATGGTTGGGCTGCGTGACGTTCTTCAGAAGGTTTCCAGCAATGCAGCATCACTTGCACATAAATACTGCGTAGTTACTACAGTTCAACGGCTGCGTGATGTTCTTCAGTACGTTTCCAGCAATGCAACATCACTTGCACATAAATATTGTGTAGTTACTACAGCTCAACAGCTGCGTGATGTTCTTCAGCTTTCCAGCAATGCAACATTACTTGCAAGGGTTTTGTAAATATTGCGTAGTACTACAACTCAACGGCTGCATGATGTATTGCAGAAGCTTTCCAGCAATGGAACATCACTTCCAAGGGGTTCATGGAAGTAAATGTTGTGTAGTTACTACAACTCAACAGCTGCATGATGTATTGCAGAAGATTTCCAGCAATGCAACATCACTCGCAAGCGGTTCGTGAAAGTAAATATTGTGTAGTTACTACAGCTCCAACAGAAGCTTTCCAGCAATGCAACATCACTCGCAAGGGGTTCAGGGAAGTAAATATTGCGTAGTTACTACAGCTCAACGGCTACATGATGTATTGCAGAAGATTTCCAGCAATGCAACATCACTCGCTTGGGGTTTGTAGAAGTAAATATTGTGTAGTTACTACAACTCAACTACTGAATGATGTACTGCAGAAGCTTTCCAACAATGCAAGATCACTTGCAAGGGGTTTGTGGAAGTAAATATTGCGTAGTTACTACAGCTCAATGGCAGCGTGATGTTCTTCAGAAACCTTCCAGCAATGCAACATCACTTGCAAGGTGTTTGTGAAAGTAAACATTGCGTAGTTACTACAACCCAACGACTGAATGATGTATTGCAGAAGATTCCCAGCAATGCAACATCAATTGCAAGGGGTTCGTCGAAGTAACTACTGCATAGTTACTACAGCTCAATGGCTGCGTGATGTTCTTCAGAAGCCTTCCAGCAATGCACTCTCAAGGGGGTTGTGGAAGTAAATATTGTGTAGTTACTACAGCTCAATGGCTGTATGATGTATTGCAGAAGATTTCCAGCAGTGCAACATCACTCGCAAAGGGTTCGTGGAAGTAAATATTACATAGTTACTACAGCTCAGTGGCTGCATGATGTATTGCAGAACCTTTCAAGCAATACAATATCACTTGCAATGGGTTCGTGGAAGTAAATATTGCATAGTTACTACAGCTCAATGAGAGTCTCCTCTCCTGCCTTGGAGAAGGGTTTGGGTTTCGCGGACACTCCCCTCTCCCGCTGTTTGTATCCCGATCCTTGGAACGAGAGGATTGCGGAAGATGAGTTTGTGCCTCTCTTTCTCTCTGCCTTTGTGCCTCAGCCGAGTTGGCCTCTCCAAAGGAGCTCCGACATGTTGTAGGATGCTAGTCGTGAAATGATGTATAGTTTCCAAATCACAACCTCCCGGAACTGCTAGATTTCAAGTGTCCCAGAAGTAAGCAAAATACAGCAGAGTCCTTCCTCAGCAAAAACACGCTTCAGCCCATCTATCAGCAAAGTCCAACCGCAATCATCTGACCATATCTACACACTGTTTAGTAAACTCACAGATTCAGGTTTCCATCCAAAATATCCAGAGGCTTTCATCTTCACCGCTGCAATATGTACAGATGTACAATCAGGATGTACAGACAATCCTTACAAACAATCAGAGCCATCAAATAGTCATAGGCAGATACTCACACTGAGTCCCACAGGAGAGAGGAAGATGGATTCTTTCATCCTCCTTAGATATCTGATAGGTTATCAGTAAGGGACACTTTACTTTGCAGTAACCTTCACATAGTTATTGGTTAGCCACAGAGGCTATCATTGATCTATATTTTCTGTTCGTCGTGGGAGTTCTGTGTGCCCTATTTGGTTCAATTCCATCATTGGTGGAGTTCAGAATGCTCTTTGATTGTAGGTGAACTATACATCCCAGTAACTACAACTCGCATATGTCAAGGTCTATTTTCCCCCAAGAGTGCCTCAAGAGCACCCCTGGGCAACATCAACTCTACCGCGAGTGCTTACTTTGCGTAAGGGTTGCGCCGCCCCTGGTTAGCCATTACCACATCCTGTTAGGAATTGCATCATTACCTTCAAAGTCATTACTTATCAATACTCCACATGTCAATCAAACAGTATTTTTCTATGGCTAGAAATGCGGTGCCATTTCTTTCTGACACAGGATCTCTCTTAAACATTGACGATTGCAATGGATGGTCAGTGGACAGTCGCTACTCCTTGGTCAACCATGTGCCGCCTTGCCTTCGGACCGCTCGCTTGTCCGCTTCCTCTTGAGATCCATGCCTTTCCTTCTCTCTTTCGTTTCGAGCGTACGCCTTCTTCCTCTTTTGCTACTGAGGTTAAACCCTGTGGATTCTCCCTGTCTTCCTTTTTTTCCCTCACCGAGGATCTAGTACCCAGTTGGGTGATCTAGAACCGAGATCGTGAACTGTGGACTGGGACAGATCTACCGAGACAAGACGATTAAAAGGAAACTTTTCCTCACAGTTTGGAGACTCAAAATTCTCAAAACCACGACCGGAGACCCTTTGGTTGCATAAGAGATGTAGTACCCAGTTGGGTGATCTAGAACTGAGATCGTGAACTGTGGACTGGGACGGATCCAACGAGACAAAAAAAGAACTTTTTTTTTCACAGTTTGGAGACTCAAATTCTCAAAACCAAGACTGGATGACCTTGGGTTGCATAAGAGATGTAGCAGCATAGTTCTGAGGTTGTTTCCAACCATTCAGGTGTGCAAATTTGCATCAGGGATCAGCCTGGCATCACTAAAATAACACTTCAACTACTGTTTTCGGAGGCCTTCCCTTGCTCCATCCCTATAGCTGTGTTGTTTGCAAAACTTTGTTGTTTGCAAAGCCAAAGTCGTGCAACTGTTGTATTTTCTACTGTAAGGACTCATTGTGTACTACTGTTAGAATCGCGGAGGAGACGGAGAAAGAATGGGGCGTCTGGGGCTCTCTGCCCCGTTCTAGACTACTGCCGGCCCTTGCCTTTTCCTTCCTGCGTCCTGCCATTCTTCCCAAAGCAGATTTCTGTCCCTTAGCATCTTCTGGATGGGTATTATGGGATGGGTCCCTTGCTATGCTTCGAAATATGTCGGCCATAGCTTCCCATCACCCGGGGTTGGAGGTGTTACCACGATGCGAGGGTTCTTCAAAATGTTTCCGCACTATCGTATGTCAAGAATACATCACATTTCTACGTGGACACTTTTTTTCCACCCAGTATCATGCCAACTTTTTAATGCCGTCGGCAATAAATAAATAAATGCCGATGCGCCTTTTCACAATCTAATCACATTTTTTCCCCTGTGTCAGGAGCGACTTGTCAGGAGTGACCTTAGAGTAGTCAAGATGGCCGTGAAACTCATAAATTGGTGCCAAAGAGGAATAGCATTATGTCCTACACTTTGTTGTGAGCAGAAAGTACTGTTGCAACCCAGATCAGGAAACAAGACCATAAGATATTAATCCCCCACACTTGACTGTAGGAAAAAACAATCCTTTTTTATTGATGAAAAATAGTCACAAAATAGAGGAAAATACAAAGTCCAAAAAGCCACAGTAAAATTCAGCAGTCAGGAATATCTCTGAACTAGATCAAAATTCCAAAAACAACACTATAAAAACCTGGAACCTGTTAGCATTTCACTAACCGTACTTGGAAACTAGAAGCCTCTGGGAATGCAGGCCATGGGAAACGGGAACTCTACCAAGGTAATGCCTCAGTCTAAACGATGCTTGATCTAACGAGACAGTCCGGGGGGAGACACTTAAAACTAAAGAAACTGTTTCGGGACACGCCTCCAGGCTTAGAAGCCTCCTTTTCCTTTAATCTATTTGACCTTCGCAGACTCTGTGATTCACTCCTGTTTTTCCAAATCTGTCTTTTCCTATCCTCATTAAAAAAGGCAGGTGCTAGCTCCTCTGGAGAGTTATCACCGCTTGATTCTGAAACATTCTCATCAGGATGTGTAGCTTCACTTTCCCAGCCACTGCCTTCAGAATCAACAGTTTCCAAACCATCAGGGAAAAATACATGTTCAGTAGCCTGTTCAGTTGCATCAGGAAATACAATCAGAGAATCTGGTTCAGGTTCACACGGAGGCTGAACCCCAACATGTATCCAAATCAATCTCCACGTGTGTGCTCAGTACGGGGATAACGTTCTCTCTGCAACATATATCGTCGCCATCCGATTCCCATTTTATTGGGGAGCTGCTTAAAGAAGCTTTAAGGGGGAAGAAGGTTTTCATGTGACTATCAAATCTCAGGAGAGCGTGGATGAGCTCCCTCTGTCAGCTCCAGCTCCCCAAGTAGCTTCTGGTGTGAGAGGATTGGCCGTCTGCAAGGACGTTCCCCAGGGGACGTTGCCCCGGATGTTTGACCATCCTTGTCGGAGGCTTCTCTCATGTCCCCGCATGGAGAGCTGGAGCTGACAGAGGGAGCTCATCCGCGCTCTCCCCGGAATCGATAGTCACATGAAAACCTTCCTTCCCCTTAAAGCTTCTTTAAGCAGCTTCCCAATAAGGTGGAAATCAGATGGCGACTATATACGTCGCAAAGAGAAGGTTATCCCCGTACTGAGCACACACATGGAGAAAAGCATAGACAGGGCTCCTCCTTAAACTGTAATCTGGCCCTCTCAACAGTTTGAGGGACTGTGACCTGGCCCTCTGTTTAAAACGTTTGAGGACCCCTGG